ATGAAAATAACTCCCAGGGTCAAAGCCATAGGCAGTCAACATACCAAGGTCACTGACAAGGATTACCAGACCACTAGAAATTTTGGTTTCATGGCCTGATACATCTTGGTAGCAATAGGATGGATAATGTACTTACCCATATGGCCTCAGCCAATACCTCATCTACCATTTGACCCTTCGGAACAATGATCCGATCTTTGTAAAATTTAAGACCGAACCTATCAGTGGACACAAAGTCCTATTCTTTCATGGACTGAATCTCTTCATCAAGCAATTGAGCTTCTTTGATCCGCTCAACTAATGAGTTCTGGACTACCGTAGTAGTCAATAAATGCAGACTATCCTCGGTATTCACAGGAATGCAGAGATCCCTGAATTTCTCAATCAAATTATACTCAGAAATCATCAAATTGGCCATACCAAGCGTCTTTCTGCTTAAAGCATCTGCTACTACATTAGCCTTACCGGGGTGATATTGCAATTCAAAATCATAATCCTTCAGGAATTCCACCCATCGGCGTTGCCTCATATTCAGCTCTTTCTGATCAAACAGATACTTCAAGCTTTTGTGGTCATTGTAGACAATGAAATCGGCCCCCGTATAGAAAGTGTCGCCAGATTCTCAATGCGAACACTACGGCTGCCAACTTAAGATCGTGTGTCGGATAGTTCTTCTCATGCGGCTTTAACTGCCGAGAAGCATAAGCAACCACCTGACGAAACTGCATTAAAACACAGCCTAACCCAAACTTAGAAGCATCACAATACACCACAAATTTACTGGTAGGATCCGGCAATATCAATACCGGAGCTGTAGTCAACTTCCTTTTTAACTCCTGAAAACTCACTTCACATTCTTGGGTCCACACAAATGGGTTCCCCTTACGGGTTAACCGTGTCAAAGGTAGTACCATCCGTGAGAATCCCTCAATAAAACACCTGTAATACCCAGTCAAACCAAGAAAACTCCTGATTTCTGTAATATTTTTAGGACGCTCCCAATCTAACACTGCTTCAATCTTACTCGGGTCCATTGCCACTCCTTCAGATGAAATGACATGGCCCAGAAATTGTATCTCAGAAAGCCAGAAATCACACTTTAACGGTTTAGCATACAACTGATGCTCTTTCAGAATCTGCAAAACAATCTTTAAATGCTCAGAATGCTCTTCTTTGCACCTTGAATATATCAGTATCTCATCAATAAAGACAACCACAAATTGATCCAGATAGGCTTTAAAGATCCGATTCATATAACTCATAAAAGCGGCTGGTGCATTCGTAAGCCCAAAAGGAATAACCAGGTACTCGTAGTGCCCATATCAGGACCTGAAAGCTGTCTTCGGAACATCATCTGACTTTATCCGGATTTGATGATACCCGGACCGAAGATCAATCTTAGAAAATATAGTCGCACCACGCAACTGATCCAACAAATCGTCTATACGCGGCAAAGGATACTTATTCTTGACAGTAACCTTGTTCCACTGCCGGTAATCTGTACACAATCTTATAGACTCGTCCTTCTTCTTAACAAAGATCACCGGGACTCTCCACGGAGATACACTCTGTCTGATAAAATTCTTACTAGACAAGTCTTCGATCTGCTTCTTCAATTCAGATAATTCCAGAGGTGACATCCGGTATGGGGCAAGAGAGATAGGCCCCACGCCAGGTAACAAGTCGATTGTAAATTCAATTTCCTTCTCTGACGAAAATTCGAAATTTCATCCTTATCACAGTCAAATCGAATGCTTCATTATTAATTCAAGCTCTTTCTGCCTAGTTGCAGTCCAAGTCTGCTGTAGTGCAGCCAAAATCGCTACAACATGATCCGGTGGTGGATCATGATTATTAAAAGTTCTACGAGTTCTCCTTGGAGGAACCATATCTCTGCATATATTACACTAAGGAATGAGTTAGCTACGCTCACACTCAGTGATCACACATGCATTATACAGCACTGCAAGAAAACACTCAAGAACTTCCAACTTCAAATATATTATGCTATATATCATGTAACTCCCTAGAGCAACTGCTCTGATACCATAAATGTAACATCCCCGTCTCGAGCCGGTTCAATTAACATACATATGATACAAACAGAAACAGCGGAAGACTTACTTACGAAAATACGAACTAACTTTTTCTTTTTCTTTAATCCTTTTTCACAAGACATATCACATTGCATACTTCTTCTAATTTAATTCTTATTTTACGGAGACGAAAATCGGACAGAGTAACCTCTGTAAATCGGACAACTGGGGATTTTCCAATCCCACACTCAAGAGTTCCTGATAGACAGTTTAAACAATATATATTTCCAGAAGTACCAGTCATGCAAACATACTCAGATACCCATCTATGGGCGCATGCTGAACTTGGCTCTGTGCCACAAATCTAATAGCATGCAATCCAATACATAACATAACTGAATACTACATAGTCATATCATCATGCCTGAATACATAAATGTACATGTATCGAATATGAACACTATGCAACAATACATCTTTTCCAAAAATACGTCTAAAACAAATAGTAGCATCCGACCACCCAGAACTCCACATCCTCATACTAGTACCTCTAGCCACGGTTAGTGTCCTTGTCCCATGAGGCTCTTCAATTAACTGTGTTCCTGAAATCATATCCCCAAACGGGGTTAGAGACGAATCTCTAGTAAACTCCAGGTTTATGGAAAACCCTCCATACCCTGGGCTCACTTCCTGCATGACAGTCAGATACATAATATACAAAACATCATATAAGCAATTATCATAACTGAACAAAGCATATATACATATCTTATCAAAGACAAACGCGGTCATTCCCAAGGGATGACCCCAAGCGAAAATCAACACACGTAACAAATATCTTTTACAAAAATCATCACAATACTCACATCAGAACAAAACGTGTTATATCAAAGATGTACGCAATCGTTCCCAAGGGATGACCCCAAGCGGAAATCAACGTACGTAACAAATATCATTTACAAAATCATCATTCATATCCCATAAAACATGTCATAAAATCAAATATCATAACTAAACAAAACATATACACATATCTTATCAGAAACGTACGCGGATATTCCCAAGGAAGGACCCCAAGCGGAAATCAACGCACGTGTTCCCAAGGGAGGACCCCAAGCGGAACCAGAACATATCAGAGGCGTACGCAGTCATTCCCAAGGGAGGACCCCAAGCGGAAATCAACGCACGTGTTCCCGAGGGAGGACCCCAAAGCGGAACCAGAACATATCAGAGGCGTACGCAGTCATTCCCAAGGGAGGACCCCAAGCGGAAATCAACGCACGTGTTCCCGAGGGAGGACCCCAAAGCGGAACCAGAACATATCAGAGGCGTACACCATCAGTCCCGAGGGAGGACCCCAAAGCGAACATCCGGGTACTATACAATCAATGGCCAGATATTGTTACAGAAATCATATTACAGAAGTCATATCATAACAAAACATATCATATTAACACATATCAAAGTAAATACATCAAAACAAAACATATCATATTATCATATAGCTCTATATGAATGCATCTATATCATGTATCTCATACATATCATACAACCTGACCACAGTCCGTACACTATGGCGGAACACAAAGTAGGAGCGAACCCCATAAACATAGAGCTTACCTCTTTGAGCTTTACAATCTGCTTACTTGAAGAACAAGCTACTTATCATACTCCACGAGAATCCAAACGTTCACAGTCCCTAGGTACACCTAGAGAAGGAATTCAACATAAAACTCAATAAAATGATATAATGCCATGTAAATATACAAGACACACACTTTATTGTTTATTTTCTTTTTACTTAATCATATTAAGTCATGAGTGGGTGGTTCTTTGTTCAACAAATCCCCACAAAATTCCATATATTCACTTAGTCTTAGGATAGTCCCAAAAGGCCTTTAGAACACTCATTACTCCTCTTAGCACCTAAAAGCCTATTTTTCCCAATTTAAGGCCGAATGCCCATTACAAAGGAGCTATAAGATTTCTCTTTGTCTAGTGCCTAAACCCAAGCTTAGCCACCTATATAAATTATTTTACGCATATAAGTATCCTCACTTTGCGAAACAATATCTCCGAACATATACCTCATTTGAAAATGGCCAAAACTCATTTTAAGGCCATACAAAGGAGCTACCTTATTTTCTTTTTTATTTCACCAAAGCGAAGGTCCATACACCTTAGAATATCATTCCACGCATAAAAGTATGCTCGCTTTGTAAAACAGTAACTCATAGCACATACTTCCTTTGAAAATGGCTAAGAGGCACATAAAGGAAATCATGTCAACTTCATGATTTCAATGCTTTACTCCATCAAATTCAAGCTTATCACACACCTCTAATCCAAGATTCGTTAATTGATATATATGACACTGTTCATCTCTACAATACTATTCATGTATGCGTTACTATTCACGTATACGACACTATTCAAAAATACGGTATTTTTAATTTTCCAAAATACATTTTCACCGTTAAAATTCTCATCTAAACACTTTTCTCAACATGAGCTAAACCTGAATTAAGCTCTAACATGCTCAATCAATCCAAATTTTTAAAATGAAAACCTATATTCAATCTTTCTCAAAACTCAAAGAAAACAAAGATTTCTTAACATGAACTTACCTAGAATGAAGGGAGAAGCTTGCTTCAAGCTCCCATGGCTTCAAGCTCCATCAAAACCCATATTTTCCATGAAATTCGAATTCTTTGGGGGAGAAGATCTCTCTCTACAGTGAACCCCACTCAGAAATACTGGTACCAATAGATTCCTCTCGAAATTTCTCACAGGTTTGGCTTTGGAACGGAGTGATTTGGAGGTCTCTAGCTCAAGTTATGAATTTTGGAAGAATTTTAATCAAAATCTCCATTTTCATTTTCTTTCCTTCGTTCTCTCTGTCTCGCGTCCGTAAAGAGAAGGGAACAGTGACTCCCTTGAGTCACTTATATAAATTCATTATACTAGCGGGTATAAGCTCATCTATCTACACACCTCCATTCATTACCAAACTTTAACCAATAGACTAGAATATTTTTCTAGTCACGTTTCTATTTTTACTTTCACTTTTAGATAACTTTATTTATCCGCATTTTTTACCTCTTAACTGTCATTTTAACTCATTTTTCACCAAAAGTGACTTTATTTCTTTTTCTTTGTAATTATCCTTCAATATTAAATCCATAATAAATGTGAGGGTCATTATACAATGACTGGTTTTGCTGAACGTCAAGATGGACTATATGTGGTTAGGTCATCAAAGGAGCTGCCCAATATGTGTGAAAGAAATAAGGGACAATGTTTTTCCTCTTGCACTTCTGTAAATAAGAATGTTGATTTCAGTGGCACCTGTAATAGCAATATTTCTGATAGTTCATTGCTTTGGCACCGTCGGTTAGGTCATTTGTCAAAATCAGTTTTACAGCAAATGACTATACAATTCCCTTTTATTCCTAACATTCATGTTAACCCATGTGACATATGCCATCTAGCAAAACAAAAAAGGTTGCCTTTTCCTATTAGTGACAGCAAAACAAATGCAATTTTTGAACTTCTCCACGCAGATATATGGGGCCCTTACTCAGTTAGCTCTATATATGGCCATAGATACTTCCTCACGTTAGTTGATGATCACTCAAAGTTTACATGGGTGTTTCTTATGAAAACAAAAGGAGAAACACGTAATCACCTTCAGAATTTTGTTGCATATATCAAGAACCAATGGAGGACATCCCTTAAGTGTTTGTGTTCTGATAATGGAGTTGAGTTTATCATGACCGAGTTTTACTTAAAAGAAGGAATTACACATCAACGAACCTGTGTGGAGACACCACAGCAGAATGGGGTGGTAGAAAGAAAGCACCAACATATACTAAATGTTGCCAGGTCCTTATACTTTCAAGCCAACCTTCCAAAGCAACTTTGGTGCTTTGCCATCACCCATGCCATCCACATCATTAACCGTACCTGCAGCCCAAAGCTAAACAACAGATCCCTTTATGAGATCCTCCACAACAGCCAACCTTCATTAGAACTTCTCCGAGTATTTGGATGCTTGGCCTATGCCTCCACATTGACTGCACATAGATCAAAATTTTCTCCACGAGCACGTAAGGCAGTGTTCTTAGGCTATCGCATGGGTACCAAAGGATACTTGCTTTATGACATTTCTTCCAAAGACATTTTCATTTCAAGAAATGTATTTTTTTATGAATACTATTTCCCTTTCCATACACACACAGATAAACCAGCCCAAATCAGCTCACCTCTACCCACCAACAGCCCATCTCTCACCTTTATACCAACCATTGATGCAGATCAACCTGTATCATTCCCAAATAGCCAAAATCCAATAAACCAACCTTCGCCTATCCATACTAATGACACCAATATAACAGATGTTGTTCTGCATGATCCTAATTATCTTCCATTGCCACGTCAACCTGATGGTGTGACCAATTTGACAGATGTTGATATGCATGATTCGGACCTCTCCACACTGCCACGTCGTTCCTCACGCATAAGGATGCCTCCACGTTACCTTGAAGACTACCATTATAGTCTATCTGCTGTTCACTCTGCCCAATCAAGTCTAGGTAATCTTTCTTCTTCTCTCATAACTCACCCTTTATCAAATGTCATCTCTTATAACTCTTGCAGCACACCCTATAAACGTTTTTGCTTAAATGTTTCCACACACACTGAACCATCATCCTATTCCCAAGCCATTAAACATGAAGAATGGAGAAATGCCATGAATTCTGAAATATCTGCATTGACTTTTAACAATACTTGGTCCATCGTTGACCTTCCTGATGGTAAAGTTCCCATTGGCTGTAAATGGGTTTACAAGATCAAATACCGTTCCACTGGTGAGATTGAAAGATATAAGACTCCTTTGGTCGCGAAAGGGTTTACCCAACTCGAAGGCGTTGACTACTTCGATACCTTTTCACCCGTAGCCAAAATGACTTCCATCCGTACTCTCCTTGCTATAGCTGCAAGCAAGGGCTGGCTTCTTGAACAACTCACAAAATTTACCCAAAATTGTGATATTTGTTTCACAACTTACAAGTACTGCAAATTTGGGAGCTGACCAAGCTGTGGAACCAGTTGTCCCGAAAGGCTTGCATTTCCAAGATCACTAGCCAAACACAAATTAATTTTTCACTATATGCACAAACGTTCATAAAACTAGTGGTAAAGATGACATAAATAACTTACACACTGATCACACTATCATAACGATTGCATTTAACATGAAACCATGTGCATGGAGTGGCAAGGGTAACATCCCAGCTTTGAAGTTTATTGTTAGGATCATTCAACCTGTTCTTGAATGCAGTCAGGGCATCACCTGTCATAGCAGCAATATTCAGGTGCAATTGCAAATATTCATAATATTAAATCATTCAGAGTAAAGAATCAAACAAGTGTCAACACTTACGTTGCTCCATAAAATTGTGTGAAATTCCGGAAGTGAAAAGTGAAAACTGTTTGGGAATTTAAGCGTGAGAGAAATCCTACTTGTGTTATGAATGGATTATGGACTAACTGAGAATAATATAAATATTAGGACCCCTTAATTAATTAAGATTTTTGGTTTAACTCCTCCAGTTTTACTTGTCATTCAAAAACAGAACAAAAATTAAGAAAATAAAATAGAATAAAAAAGGGTTAAGATTTATATTGTAGGAAAAGTGATTGTGTAATGTTATAGAGATTCGTTTTGCGTGTCATAATTCTTTTTTTTTTCTTTTTTTTTCAAAAAAATGTGAGCTCCACGTAATGTTGTGTGTATATGAAAGTTTGTTGCGTACAAATGCAAATCTCAATAAAAAAAAAAGGCATAGCATAATTGAGTTATTTTCTTAACACCGCTCATTTAATGGGAACAGATATTTATGCATCAATTAAAACCCCATAGAGTAAGCACAAAAGGTCACCACTTACTTACCTTCTGGATTGCCAGAAACCTTAAGCACCAAATGAAGCAACAAGAGAGACCAAAGAAGAAACGAACTTACGAAAGATGATAGATTCATAGCCATGCACGTGCAGTTCAATAATCCCTCATTCTTAATATTAAACCATCATACCCGTCACCGTCAAGCTCAGAAGCAAGTTGACCAAAAGAAATAGCTGTGAACTTCAAGATCTAGCATTACTGTCATTCCAATAATAAATGCTTTTATCCGTATACTTGAAAATTGGGTGTTCGCTTTTATTCTTTTCTTTTTATTTTTTATTTCTCTATAATTTAATTTTGTAGGGCTGACAACTTGCAAGGATCAACGACTGTCTCCACGCGATTTTCCAGCGTGCTTTGTCTTCACTCGCATACTTCCCGCGAAAATTTCCGAGGAGGTCACCATCCCAAAATTGCCCCAAATCAAGCACGCTTCACTATGGAGTTCTTCCGTTCCAGGCTACCGAAAAGTAGATGCATCTTGTTAGAATAGCTAGTACCAATTAATTCTTAAAAGCTATCTCAACTGTACCGTCTCATACCAGCACAGTCTCTAAAATCCTTCTCTTTTGGATAATGATTCGATTCATTCATGTACCCCATCGCTGGAAGTCTGTCAAGAGCCGCTCCTTGCCCATGCCCTTTCGCACCGGCGATCACTCCCCGTCCTCGTCAACACCCGGGATGTTACATAAAATGACACAACTTTACATCCTTTAAAATGATACACATTTTTTCCAATATATTATGGAAAAGATATTTTTGCTCCAATTTAATATTAGTGGAACCTATTAACTTTTATATGAATATGAGAGAAAAAAAAATTCATCAAAAACAAAAATATCAAACCCATATATTATTTGGGATAAATATTTCTCATGTTGCATGAGATAATTTTATTTCTAACACACACGTAAAATGTATGAGATCTATATTTTCTTTTTCTCTCTCTTCTTCTCGTATGGACCTCACACATTTTTATGTGTGTATTACAGAAAAAGTTATTTCCTATAACATGTAATCTCATATTATTTAGCACAACTGAAAGATGAATAGGATTATATTGACAAAAAAAATTTTTACAAACTACACTATGTCTGACCGGTAATAGTCTACTCAAGAGTGTATTACCAGTTAGAAACAGTGTAGTTTGTAAGTTTGTAAACAAAAAATTTATAAATATAATCTTCCCCCTGAAAACTTACTATTTACAATAAAAAAAATTACCTGTACTTTTTATGTAAGATTTTGTCCTTACTTTACTCTACTCTAATTCTTATTGAAATATAGATCAAGAATTGAAGATAATAAAGGAAAATATTATAAAATCCCTTATGGTTTTGCTTTGAATTATTTATATCCCAATAACTTTTTTTCAAACTTGCTCCCAATGTTTTTTTTTTTTTCATTCAAATCAATCCTTAATACCGTTAGAAATTAAATTTATCTGCCGATTTTAGCCTTTTTAAAAAAAGAAAATAGATTGAGGACAAAAACAATAAAAGAAGAAATAATACCAAATATGTTAAAAATTTATAACACTTAAAGAAAAAACAAAGAAAAATAGAAGAAAAAAATCAAATTTATCTAAATCAGAAAGAAGAATATAAAAATAAACTATGGAGAAAAATAAGATTATATATGTTGGAAAGTTACAACAATAACAAAAAGACTAAAAGTAAAAAAAAAATAAAAAAATAAAAAAGTAAAAAAACTAAACACAAAAGAAATAGAAGAAAAAATAAGACCAAATATATTAAAAATTTACAACACTGACTTCTTTTTTTCTTTTCTTTTTATTTTTTTGTCTTATTTTTTCTTTCATTTCTGTTAACAAAAGTGAAAAGAAAAATAAAAGAAAAAAAGACCAAACATATCAAGTCAAAAAAAAAGAAAAAGAAAATACTGAAGATAAAATAAAGAAAAAAGAAGAAAAAATAAAATCAAATATGTTGGAAACTTATAGCAATGATTTCTTTTTCTTATATTTCTCTTTTGTCTCCTGCCTATTTTATTCTTTTTAATTTAGATTATTTTAATTTTTTTTAAATATTTGACTTTTCTGTTAATGTTGTGAATTTTCAACATATTTAGTTTTCTTTTTCTTTTTCTTTTTTTTGGGTTCATTTTTTCTAAAGTTACTTTAGACAAGTTTATCTAATGTTTGCCGAAACGACATCGTTTTGAGGCGAAAATCATGGTGTATTTGTAATTTTAATTTATTTCAGGTTATAATAATCTTTATTATTCTAATTTTTTTAATTTTTCGACCTCAAAACGACGTCGTTTCGGTGAACATTAGACAAAATTGTCTAAAGTAACATTAGATACTTTTTCCCCATTTTTTTTTTTATCATCATTATATTTTTTTCTTTTTTATTTAGACACATTTGATCTTATTTTTTCTATTTCTTTTTTGTGTTTCTTCTATTTTCTTCTTTTTGATTTAGACTATTTTTATTTTTATTTTTTATTTTTAGTCTTTTCTATTATTATTATAAATTTTCAAAATATTTGATCTTATTTTTTCTTCTATTTTTTGTCCTTAATTTATTTTATTATTTTTGTTTTAAACATATTTGATCTTTTTTTCTTCTATGTCTGTTTTTTTAGTCCTTTCTATAATTGTTGCAAGTTTCCAATATATTTGTCCTATTTCTTTCTTCTTTTTTCATTTTTTTTATCGTCAATCTATTCTCTTATTTTAAAAATTGTAAAATAGATAGATTAATTTAATTTCTAACAATTCAAAGCAAAAAAAAAAGTACTAAAACAATTCATAGGAGGATAAATGACTTAAAAAAAGGGTTTGTGCTTTAAAAAAAAAAGGTTCGTCTTTTCTAGGGGTATTCATCAACCGATCCAAACCGAATAAACCAAAAATCGAAAAACCTAAAATCGAAAAAAAATCGAAAATTTTACTTGGATTAGATCGGTTTTTGGATTGAGTGATGAAAACTGATCCAATCCAAACGGATCTAATATATTAATTCCCCTCTACCTACTTAGGCTTTTCTCCAATCATAGCCCAAAAATTTCTAAACTCAATACCCATTAACCCATCAACTAAACCTAAGAAAAAGCTTAGTCACATCTCTTCAACAAAATTTTATCTGTGTAGAGCTTCATATCTCATTGCCCCACAAAAAAACCTATATAATCATTTACAAATGCTTTTGTATTTCAAAAAAAAAAATTACAAAGTGAATATATACAAAGGATGTTATTTGCACAATAATCATGAAACAAATCTTAGGATTTTCAGAAAACCGAAAACCGATCCAATCCAAATCGAAAAAAATTGAGTTGGATCGGATCGGATTTGAAAAATAATCAAAACTGAATGGATGATTACATGATTAAACCGAAGGGATTGGATCAGATGATTTTTGGCTTCCAAAACCGATCCAATCCAGACCGCGAACACCCCTAGTCTTTTCTACAGTCAATGTAAATAAATTATCTACATTGAGCCCAAAATAACATCATTTTAAAATGAAAATCAAGATATTTTTGTAATTATGATTTATGGCAGGGTTATAATAATTTTTTTCATTATAAATTTTTTTTTTCAACACAAAATGACATCTTTTTTGGAATGAATGTAGATTACATTCACGGTATAAATATTAAAGTCTTAAAAAAAGACATAAAAGTCTAAATGATTCAAAGTAAAACTACAAGAGGCTTTTTGAATTTTTCTCAATTATAAAATATTTCCTCAAGAAAGGTCGGAGTAGTACCGGTAGCCGAGAAGATGAGAGAACATAGATTGAGGTGGTTTGGGCATGTGATGAGAAGGCCCATGGATGCTCCTGTAAGAACAGAAGTTTGTTACCAAGAGCTAAACACAAAAAGAGGCAGAGGTAGGCCGAAGCTTACTTAGGGGAAGATAGTAAAACAAGATTTAATGGAGTGAGATATAAATTGGCGGACAGTATGTCTTAGAACGGAATGGAGAAAAGCTATAAGTATGGTGGAGGGTTAGACCCGTTGTTATTCCTATGTTCCAGATAGTCCCTTTTTAGTCTGTTTCCCCTTCATTTCCCCCACTTCTTCTTGTCCCTTTCTTTTTTACTTTTATTTATTTATATATACATATATTTTTATTTTATTTTATTTTTTATTTTTATCTTATTTTATTTTATTTTTTATTCTATTTTTTTATTTTTATTTATCTATTTTTTATTTATTTATTTTTTGCTTTTTTTTTTACTTTTTTGCAACCGTTTTGTATCTTTCATGTGGGTTCATCTACCACCGACCCTAATTAATTAGGGATAAAGATGTTGTTGATGTTGATAAAATATTTCCTCAAAAGAAACTGTGCAATGAGATAATTAGATAAACTTTGCAGTTAATTAAGAATATTTTAGATATCAAATTTTGTCTTCATATGAAAAACTCAATGTATTTATGAATAAAAAACATTCATCGCTTGAAATGTAAAAAGTTTTTCAGATCAAACTAAATAGGTCATTTGCTTGGCTAGAATGCTGTTATGCTACAACTTGGACGGTGTCATTTAGTTTTGCTCTCAGCTATTTCGTTTGAGAAAATTGATTAGCTGCATTTTCAGCTTTCTATATTATAATAGAATTAATGATTAGTCACTGCCTTATTTCATTTTTTTACTTCTTATTAATGGTTGTATTTTCAACTGACACAATATATGGTCATGATCACAAGGTCATAATGAAACATCTCATTATTCTATTATCCCCTGCAATTATATTTCCCAGAAGATGACAATCATATGCACAAATAAGTAGTATATAGCTTTCAAGCAGAGAGTGTTGCATTAGGCAGGATAGTGCACAATGTTCGAAGATCATCTAGGACCTGATAGTATATCTGGTTGCATATTTGCAGTTGAGTCCATTATCAAATCACCAGTGTGGTGATACTGATGGGTTTGGTTGAAATCTTTGCGGATAATCTCCTCTTTCTGCCATTGATCCCATTTTTCTGGCAAACCATCACCCTCTAGCATTCTCACCACCTCAGACATCTTGGGCCTTTCCCAATGGGACCCTTGTGTGCATAGACATGCCATTTGGATTAGCTGTTCTACCTCCTCCTCATCATAATTTCCCTTTAAATTTGCATCCACCAGTTTCTCCAATCTCCTCTCTTTCAGAAGTTTTTTAACCTTGGCACAAAATAATGTCAGTTGCCAACAATCACCGTTAGTCATTGGAGTTAAATATGTGTATATAACCAATGTAGCAATAATGAACTAAACAACAGCCAGGAAGATGAGATTCTAGAATCTGGCATAGAAATAGGAACAACCAAATCAATATTGTATTGTATTTTTAAAGCAAAGGCTAGTTATACCACAAGAAATAACCAGAATAGTTATGCAAATAGATGCTTTCATGTCTCATTTTATTATGATAGTGTCATATGAGAAATGGTCTCTTGACCTGTCAATTAATGACTTATTTTCATGATGTGATGATTATATTAAAATACAATATTGAGAGGATCCATTCCCAAATATTTATACGACAATAAATAACAACAAACAAGTACTAATGGCATATTTTTCATAAACTGAATACCTACCCAATCAAGCAACATGATATCATCATTTTCGGCAAGTCGTGCTAGATCAAAAGCCCTCTTTCCAGTTATTAGTTCAAGAAGCATAACACCATATCCAAAAACGTCAGTCTTCTCTGAAGACTTTCCAGTTGAGAGGTACTCAGGTGCTATATGCCCAAGGGTACCACATACAGCAGTGGTAACATGAGTTTTTTTGTAATCCATAAGCTTTGCTAAACCAAAATCTCCAACAACTGCTTCAAATTCCTCATCCAACAATATATTAGCAGCTTTGACATCACGATGAATAATCTTCGGGTTACAATGATCATGCAAATAGGCAAGGCCCCTAGCAGCTCCCAGGGCAATATGCTTCCTTTTTGACCACTCAAGTGGTGGTTGAGATTCCGGACGCTCTAGAACAACAAAATCAATATAAACACATTTTTAGCATGAACACATGATTTAAAAGTTTACAGTGAGAACATTTTTAATATGAACACGTTTTAATAAAAGCTATGCATTTCTTCACAATAATCCAAAACAACTTCAAAAGACTAATAAGGATACCACGTAAACAAGATGCTACACTTCCGTTAACCATGAAAGGATATACAAGTAACCGCTCAGTAGTTGTTGCGCAAAAACCACGCAGCCGAAGCAAATTTCGATGCACAGCCATGCTGATCATTTCCACTTCAGTTTGAAATTGTAGCTCCCCACCTTGGGTGCGTTCCTCTTTAAGTCTTTTTACTGCTACAAGAGAACCATTTGCTAAGCGTCCTTTATAAACTTTGCCAAATCCACCTGTACCAAGAAGGTTATTCTTATCAAAACTATCTGTTGCAACTTGCAGTTCCCGCAGTGAAAACTTTATAAGCTGACCAAGGTGAACTTCAGGATCCTGCTCAGCTGCCAGTAAAAGACACACAAATGTAGGAAAATCAGCAACGGTTATCATATTCAGTTTTAATCAGTATGTATACCATCTTTTATGATAGTCAACTAACCAGGAACATCAAAGAAATAATCCTTTGGCTTTCTTCTAAGGCAATAAGCAAGTGCAATTGCAGGGGCAGCAAACAACACAGCAACACCCACAGCAACTCCTCCAGCAATAGCCCCAGTGGCACTGCTACCTACATGGATTAAAAGAATTAAATGGTAAAGTATAACTCTATTATTAATTCCCTCTCTTGAATTTGACCATCCACCTAAAGAAGCTTCAAAAGAACCAATTCAACTCAAAAACTTAAGCTAGTGGGTGAAGTTACATTAATGGTTTTTATATATCTCTAACAGAAGCTATATATTTAAGCATGCGGAAGAAGCTATGCTTAAGGTATCTCCATCATCAGAGATACCCTAAGAATGAAAAGGTTCAGTCACAGGTGCCATCCAAAATTACAAAATAAACATATGGAGAAAAGGAAACAAGTGACTGCAGCTTGTACAGAAACAAAAGCAAATTACTAGAAAAATTGAAAACCTTTTACATAGTATTAATTTTATGAGTTATAAAACACCATTATTTTTCCTTTGCTTATCTTAGTGGTTTCAAATTTTGGGTCAAGTGATTCTTTTACATGGTACCAATTTTTAGTTAACCTAGTGGTGTAGAGTTTGATTTTGCTATCAATTTTAGTGGTAAGCCTGTATTTTTCATGTTTCAAGCCTAGTGGACTCTCACATGAGGGGCATGTTAAGAGTTACATTCTCAGCTTATGTTTTTAGGTCAATTATTCTTTACAAATTTAATTAATTACAAGCAAAGAAACAAATATTTACAAACCTGACGTAGTTTGTTGTTGCCGAGAAAGTGGTGGAGCTAGAGGGGATTTCTTCTTCAAGAAAGGGTTATGGTCAAAACTGTAAAAGGGAACACAGGCATTAGCAAAATTTTGGTATCTCATCCCTCAATAGTAATAGTAATGTGTTAGGATCAAATTGCAGGGTAAGGGACTCGAGTCCCACGTCATAAGTATGGGTCTATGGGATTCTGATGAAAGGTTTATATGGGGCGTGGGTTCTCCCACTACAATGGCTAGCTTTTGTGGTGTGGCTCTCCAAAGGTTCTTATCATAATGATATAAACAATTTCATTTGCACCAACCTGACTGGAGTAAACATTGAAAATGAACCATTGACTGGGACATCTCCTGATAAGTTGTTGTTTGCTAAATCACTATATTCCACAGTGACCATGGTGTCAGGTCATGCATAAAAATAAAAATACATCACTATAACAAGGTATCTACATTTGGAGTAGTTCATGAAAAATCTAGATATATGAGTGAAACTCACAGGATTTGCAGGGTAGTAACATTGGTCAAAGACATAGGAATGTTTCCAGACAAGCTGTTATTGTTGAGGCGCCTAGTTCAGGGAGCAAATTCAATTAGCTTGCAGATAATAAACTACTGATAGAGAAGAGTAACAAGACATGATAGCAAACAATTATCAAGTAGCATGTGTGTTGAGTGTGTTCGCTATAATAACTTGTTGCTGACTTAAATTAGAAGACTAGGATATATAACGAAGTATTCTACATAGCAATGTAAATTGGACACAATTGAAAAATGTCTAAATCCAGGCATGACTGATGCCATTCCCTTTTGGAAATTTATGTAGAAGGTGGTCAAAATGCTCCTCCCCTTACCCCTAACACAATCATTAAAACTCCCTTCCATGAAAATAAATTTGCAGGGAAAAAACCAAGAAAACAAGCAGAGCTTCAATCCATTATAATATAATCACGTCGAAGCCTTAACTATTAAAATGTGGGAGGGAATGGAATCTAAGAGCTAATCACGATTACTTGATTTTAAAAAAAAAAGTAAGTTCAGTTGTGGTAAAAGTAAATTAAGGAACATAACACACAAGCCCTGCCAAGCATTTGAAGAAAATTCATGCAGCCAAGGTGGCAATGGCACCCCTAGACCACCATCACCCCCTCAGCCCATTTAAGTGGATGCTCATGAACAATTGTTACATTGACTTTATTGCATCTTTAATATACAGAGAGGATGAATTGGTCAATATACACATGTAACAAACACACTTAACATTTTATTCATGAATATTTAAGCAGAAAAAACTCCAGTATTAGTTGCACATAAAAATTTGTCACCTTTTCCAACCAGTTAAATAGTTTGAAGTTATATTTTTTACTAGACCGACCAATATGAGCACTACGATCAATCATCATATATTTCATTTTATTAGGTAGAATGATTCTTTTCTTAGGCATGTGTTTGAAGTATATTACAGGCTCTGTTGGAACTGAAATAGTCATATTGTAGGCTGCATAATCTGCCACCATTTTATGTGGGAAAGCAAAATTTATGAAGGTTAAAAAGTAAATGAAGAAACAAAATTGAAACATATATAAATAAGTTTTGCAGATAAAAGATATGAGATGAAGGAAAGCATGACATACAGGTAACGTAGTTGTTTAAGGTTGGCCAGTGTGTCCGGAATGAGACCAGTTAACTTGTTCGAGTAAAGATCCAAGCTCTCCAACTTTGTCAAATTTCCAAGCTCCTTTGGGATATTCCCAGTTATGTTATTACTGTAAAGTTCCCTGTCATTGAAAAGAAAAATATTTCCAGATTTGAGCAAGTAAAAAAGTCCAATAAAATACTAAAAATGGAAGAAAACATTTGCATTAATGCTGTGAAAAGGGTCAAAATCTAATAGAAGTTGGTATGGTGAAAATTGAACCACACAAATATATATTGATGGCTTGTATAATATTCAATATGTAATCTTTTCTTCAGCAATTTATAAAACTATCGCCAAGAGACTGGCTAATGTCAAGCTTAGGAAGGCACCAAAAGTTGATAATACAACTGTTCCTCAAGAAAATTGATTGTTCAACAAGAAAATATGTGTGAGGAGGACAGCCCTTGCTTAGATTGAGACTCTCTACTACAACCAACAGAGGTAGGGCAGAAAACCTTCAAATTTTGACATTTTGATTGAGTAGGAAAATCAAAACATATTGCAATTGGGAAAATCTTTTATTTTATTCCATTCTAGGATCACTAAAATAAATAATGTACACCAATATTTCTATGATATGAACCAAGTAGATGAGTTCTGGGGATTTATCCATTTAATTGCCTTATTCACCTGTTTTACAAAGTTAAGCATACTAGCCCTGGAGAAGGTTATTTTTTTGAGAATCATATGTATGCAGCAAGTGATTTCTTGATAAAAACGTTGTTGAACAAAAAACAGAAGAAATCATGTAAATACCATAATAAAATCCGTTCACCCTGCCCACTTCCAAAATGGTCAAAGGAAACAACACAGCTTTTTTTTGTCAGAAGGAAAGGCAGACAAACAAACAAGAACTTTATGAAAAATGAGAAACATATTCTCAATGAAGAGCAACTTATCTACCTTGTTTTGGGAGTGGCAAGGGAGAAAATGTATTGTCAAACAAAATATAGAATATCAAGAGGAAACCTAAGTCCCTGCTCCAATCAGGGAATGGAGTTCACATAAGTTTGGAGCATTGAGGCAGTGAACAAAGAAATTAGTCTGATGCCTGGCCAATCAATATAGTCCTACTGTTTATAAGATCATGTTTAAAGAGAACAAAAACTGAATAACAATAAAGAAAACTAGCCAAGCAAAATCTGCTCACAAAATTTACCCAAAATTGTCATATCTGTTTCACAACTTACAAGTATTGCAAATTTGGGAGCTGACCAAGCTGTGGAACCAGTTGTCCCGAAAGGTTTGCATTTCCAAGATAACTAGCCAAACACAAATTAATTTTTCACTATATGCACAAACGTTCACAAAACTACTTGTAAAGATGACATAAATAACTTACACACGGGTCACACTATTATCACCATTGCATTTGACAAGAAACCATGTGCATGGATTGGCAAGGGTAACATCCCAGCTTCGAAGATTATTGCTAGGATCATTCAAACTGTTCTTTAATGCAGTCAGGGCATCACCTGTCATAGAAGCAATATTCAGGTGCAATTGCAAACATTCAAAATATTAAATCATTTGGAGTAAAGAATCAAACAAGTGTCAACACTTACGTTGCTTCATAAAATTGTGTGAAATTCGGCAAGTGAAAACTGTTTGGGAATTTAAGCGTGAGAGAAATCCTACTTGTGTTATGAATGGACTAAAATGAGAATAATATAAGAGTAAATACCGTTTTAATTTTAAGTCCTTAACAAAAAATACGGTTACTTACAAAAAGAAATCACTCTCGGTCCCTAAAAAATTCAAAGTCATTTAGTTGAAATCGTGGTCCCTCCTAAATTCAAAAAAAATCCACATTAGTCCGTCAAAAAGACTAAAATAAGTCCACCTTGAATTACACAGGGACCAGACGACTAATTTTTTTTTGTAAAAGACTAAATTGGGAATCCAATTTTTTGTTAGGAATCATTTTTTACACATAATATAAATATTAGGACCCGTGAATTAATTAAGATTTTTGGTTTAACTCCTCCAGTTTTACTTGTTATTCAAACATATGAAAGGCCACAAAACAGAACAAAATCAGGAAAATAAAAAATAGAATAAAAAAGGCATAATTGAGTATTTTCTTAACCCTGCTCATTAAAAGCACCTCTATTTAATGGGAACAAAAGGTCACCACTCACCTTCAGCGTTGCCAGAAACCTTAAGCACCAAAAGAAGCAACAAGAGTGACCAAAGAAGAAACGAACTTATGAAAGATGATATCACTCGCTCCATGTTTCCATTCCTCTTCAACTAAATTCCATGAGAATGAGATAGATTCATAGTCATGCACATGCAGTTCAACTTTAATCCCTCATGCACAAACCTTCTTAATACTAATTGATCTCCATCATCATACCCATCAAGCTCATAAGCAAGTTGACCTCGTTGACTAAAAGTAATAGCTGTGAACTTTAACAATTAACATATATCATGACCGTGCAAAGTTGGGGAGACTCAACAACCAAGTCCATGAACATTGCATTAGTAACTTTTCCTTCTTGTTATTATTTTCATTTTATTGTGATTGTTTGTTTCTTTGTATATGATATAATTTTGTAGGGTCCGTGACCCATATTTTTATGGGCCCATTACCATTATCTTTGAATAACCTATGAGAAAAAAGCTGCATAAAGAGAAGAGCACTCGCAGCGACAGAGAAAAAGAAAAAAGAAAAAGAAAAGTGAGAAAAGACAGAAGAAAAAGAAAGAAGACCCCTCAATTTGATCGGAATGAACTAAAATTTTACCTCCAGTTTAGGATGTCTTTTTTTAAAAATAAAAAAAATTAATTTTAACCCAACATAATTTTGTAAAGGTTTCTATTATAAAAAAAGTTTTTTTATAATGAAGAAAAAAATTAAAAGTTAAAACTTTTAAAAAAAGCTTTTTTTTTAGTATGTATGTTTATTTTACAGTTATACTCTTATTTCATATTTATATTTATAAATTTTATCATTTACTTTATTAATTCATCTTAATGATAAATTCTTTCCTCTTCTCTCTTTCAAAACCATTAGAACAGCTTTATATAATCATCATATAGCTTTTTATTTTATTTTTTAAGTTCTTTTTTAACTTTAGCTTAAAAAACAAATGTGTCAAATAGGCTCTTAGGAAAATATTAACAATATTTAGTAATTTATATGTAATTGTCACTTTGTGATTCAGATGTTTCTAGACCGGACAATTTATTTTGAGTATGTTTGGATCCTCTCTTTTTTAAGATAGAAGCTACTTATAAGATAAAGTTAAAAAAAAAAGAGCTTAAAAAAAGCTAAAAGTTGTTTGGTAATTACATAAAAAAATTAACTTAAAAGCACATATTTCAAGAAAACTATATCTTTATATCTCTATAGCTCTTCATTTTTTTAAAAAAACACACAATTCAAGAAAAACAAATAAGAGTTTTAAAAAAAGCTCCTCCTAAAAGCTTTTAACTTTTAGCTTTTTTCTTCATTATAAAAAAAAGAATTTTTCATTATAAGAGTTTTTCTCAAAATCTGTTTGGTCTAGCTTATGCTTATAAGTAGCTTCTAGTTTAAAAAAAAAAAAAGAATCCAAACAAGCACTTTACCTTTTTGGGGCATTATCTCTTTCCATCCTTGCTTTTACTCTTGATTTTCATATTTTATATGATATTATTTGATTCCTTTATTGTTATACAAAAAAAAATATTGAGTATTTGTATTCATTATTATTATTATTTGGTTATAGTGAAATTTAGGTGTACTCTATAATAACCCTCATCAGTAAAATAAGTACATTGGAATTTGTCATAATTTAGCAAAAAAATGATTAGATTAAAAATCTAATCATTAGGTAAATTAGATATAAAATTTAATTTATTACAAAGTAAGTCAATTTCCAGATAAAAGTAAAATTACATTGAGTATAATAGCCCATCTTAATCAATTAGTAAATATAGTGTAATTAATTAATTAAGCATGTTTTACTGAGTAAAATTAAGTATAATGCTTAATTAAATGAATCTGAGTCACTTTAGAGTTAAAAAGTGTACTCAATGAAAATTAACGGGTATAAATGGGTACTGGCGAAAGTGCCCAAAATATAAAAATAAAAATAGTAATATTCCTAGAATAATATTCCAGACTTTTGGGTAAAGTTTGGTAATTAATGGAGTTGAATAGATAGATGAACCAATACCCGCTTAAAGCCACTTAACCTATGTTAAGTGACTAAAAGCCAAAAGAGAACCCATTTCCCACCCATCCCTCGTCGACGCCAGAAGAGAAGAAAAGAAGAAGGAGGAGAAGGAGGAGAAAGGGAGAGAGAGAGAAAGCAAATCTCAACCAAATCCATCTGTTCAAAAGCCTAAATCGCTTAGAATCTCGCCCTCTTTCATAATCCTAGCTTTGTTTTGAGTGGGGAGCATTGTGGAGAGAGATATTGCCTCTCAAAAATTCGGCCATTTGAGAGATTTTGGGATTTTGGGAAGTTCAACCTCCATGGGAGCTTGAGGAACACTCCTTGCTTGGTTGTGTGACCATTGGTGGTAAGATTCTAACCCTTGAACCTCATGATTCCTTGAAATTTGCATGAGTTAGGGTTTATGAATAGTGTTTTAGGGATTTTGATGAAATGTTGTTAAATTAGCTATGTTCTAGGAAGAATGGAGCTTAGAGCATGTTGTGAAAAATGCTAGGAGCGACATTTAATCGGGGATAATGAGCTTAGATAGTTAAATGTTTATATTTGGAAAATTGCAAGAATATGACACTTGGTTATGAGTTTTCTTGCATTGTTGAACCATTGTTTGGTTGGTCATTGATTGTATCCTTGTGTTGTCTAGGATTGAGGCAATTGGATCAACCTTAATTGACCAACCTTTGGAGCAAGCAATGGAGATGGATTAGTCGTTGAAATAGGTAAGTTCATCCTTGTGTTGTGGTATGAATAGGATAGCTTGAAATAGTGTTGTCTAGGTGTATGTTTGTAAAAGTTGATTGCTGAAACTGTTGGTGAAGAACAAAGGTCGACTGAAGCATTGAGGTAAGCCTTCGGACCTTGGGTGTAATTCCCTTGATTGTTCCGCCAAGCCCTGAAAGGGTAGAGGTTGTGATTGTGTATATAAATGCAATAAAATAGTGTAATGCTTTGTTATACGTATGTGTATGCATTTGGTGTGGCATAGGATGGTGTTTCCCTATGTTGGTATGTGGCATGACGATGCGTAAATCATACTTGGTAGTTAGCTGGCCAGTAGGACTATTTGCATCTGAGTTTCCTTATGACAGCTTGAGAGCTCGAGGGATTTCTCCTGGAGATGTATTGCACTTTGCATAGATATGTATTTACTGCATTATTATTGTTATTGTTATTACACTGATATGGAACTGTGGGGTGGAGAGATGCTCCAAGGACCCCTGGTTTACTGGATATATTCGTATATCTCACCCCGTGTTGTGGGGACCCCCTTTCAGGTAAGGATGCTGCAGGAGCCTCTGGTGGCAAGTGGCCATATCTGGATTATGCATGAAATGTGGCATTTCTTTTGAGATTATACATGTTGTTTTGTAGCTCACATGTATAGAATTGTAATGAATAGGCAATGCTAGATTTATGATTTGTATATTGGAATGAACTTAGCCTATGCTCATGCCTTTGGTCATCTCTTTTGTTGATGGGAGCCAAGGGAATGATCATAGTGTTTTGTAAGCTAAGTTCCATGATTTGTAATGGATATGTAATGTAAATGATGCCTACTTGAAATTCAATATATGCATGCTTGTTATGTATTGAGTTATTGAATTGGTTGGGCTGAGAATCAATTAGGTACCTTTGGTTTAACTTGGGAAACGTTGAGTAAACAAAGGTTATGCTGCCCAAATTCTAGCTAAATCTCATGAGGAGAGGTTGGATGAGTGCTAGGATTTAGTTTTGGGGCATGGACAATTGGGGTTTGTAATGGGGATGCATCTTCCCCTAGACTTGGACTTGAAAAATGTGGGAATTGGAATTCCCTGGCAGCGCGCTTAAGCGCCCAGGAGCGCGCCCAAGCGCCCTGCTGCCCCTGTGAGTGCCAATGCATTCGGCCTCCTCGCGCTGGAGCGCCCAAGTGGGGGGCTGAAGCGCCCAGGATTGCGCGCTGGAGCGCCCTGGCTTGCGCTCAAGCGCCCTTCGCTGCAGAAAGATGGGATGCTTACTGTCCCCTCGAGTTTTAGCGCCCAGAGTGGGGCTGAAGCGCCCAGGGTTGCGCGCTTGAGCGCCCTGGTCCGCGCTTGAGCGCCCTTAGCCACTGAAGGAGGAGATGCTTCTGTCTCTGCGCGCTAAAACGTCCCAATGGGAGCTTGAGCGCCCAGGATAGCGCGCTTGAGCGCCCTGATGCGCGCTTAAGTGCCCATCTACACTGAAATACCTGATGCTTCCTGCCTCCGTGCGCTTAAGCGCCCAGATGGAGGCTTTAGCGCCCGATAGCGCGCGCTTGAGCGCCCGGTAGCGTGCGCTTGAGCGCCCGGTAGCGCGCTTGAGCGCCCGGTAGCGCGCTAAAGCGCGCGGGGCCTGTGACCAACACTCTCTTGTGTTGCTTCAAATTGTCCTAACTTGGGCTACAGTGCTCCGATTTGAGCGCGGTTTGAAGCCACGCATAGCTAATGAAGAGATTTACAATATAGCAGAAGAAATAAATTAATGGTTTAAAAATAGAATAAGAACATGATGTTAAGCTTAATTTATCTGATTCCGCAAGGTAATATGGTTATAATCACGAAATTGGGTATTACAAGTTCGGTATGTTTTAAAATGAAAAATTTATCCGGATTTTAATTGAACCCATGTGATCGTAACTGCGCTTAATATCATAATGCGATGGTAACAAACCGGTTCTAGAACGGGGTGTTACATTGAGTTTTGTGGTAAAAATACAAATTAGGCAAAAATATCGAAAATTGATAAATAAAGCATGTAAAAGTCAGTTACAAAGACGGCTTTAGGGGGGCTGGGGTGGACCACCCCCTCCCCCCAAATTTAAAAAAACTTTTTTTAATATATATATATATATAAAATAAAATTTTAGTAATATTATTAAATTATTTGTTTTAAAAATTGTATAATATAAAATTATTCTCCATGACACCATAAAATATCACACTACATTCAATCATTGCCCCATTTGCATCCCCATGGAACCCCCCCCCCCCCCCTCTCTCTCTCAATTTTAACAAATCTTCTCAACTCAGGTCTTGCATTATCTCTATTTTTTATGAAATTAACAATACTGCTATTATTCGATTGTTTTATTTCGAAATCCATTCATATCATCCCCATGTTTTGTTTCAACTCATTATCTTCCATTGATTAACATTTTTTTATACTGATGTTCGGTGCGTTAATGTTTTTTAATGCTTTAATATTTCATTAAAGATTACTTTTCAAACAGAAAGAATAAATTGTGTTGGACAAATAAATTAAAAAAAATTCAAAACATGGATGAACCAATAATTAAAAAAAATCAAAACTCAAGGTGAAATACAATAGAGCATAACAACATATTTATTCGGGACTTGTAATATTTTAAATTTTCAAATGCTTCATTTACTGAACTGTTAGTGTATTTTCTTATTTTTTGGACTTTGAGATCTATAAGTGTTTACTTTTCAATGTTGGTTAGCTTGCTGGAGTGTTGCTCTACAATATATCTTGATGATTATATTTGAATAATTTTACTGGATTCAACAGCTTGTCCAAGCATCATTTAGGTACAATGCATTTTCACATACATTTTTTTAAAATTTATTTAAACATTTTCTGAATCTATTTTTATTGTAGATAGGTTTAACAATACGAAAACACGTAGAGTAAGAGTCAAGTGAAGTGATCTTAATTTCTGTAATAGATTTCTTTCAATTTTTTGCATATTAAGTCTGTATTGTATTTGAAGTACTTTTATTTATGAAGAGGTATTTTTTCCGCCCCCTCTCAATAAAATTCCTGCGTCCGCCACTGGTCAGTTATATGATAATTATGAAATCAAAACACATATTAGAATCCTAAGTCATTTGGCTATATTTAATAAGAAAGGAAGTTAAAATAGTAAATTACCATGTTTAGTAGTGTGACCAAATACTATAGTCACTAAAGTGACTTAAGAAAAAAAGAACGAGATACAAAAGACATCACATTTCAGCCTTCTCCTTTTTCTTCCTTCGGCCCCATTGAAGAAGAGAGAAATACCTTGCAAAAATCTATATTCTTCCATAGGCCATCAAACTTGGTTCCAAAGGAAAAAAGTGTCAAAACTCCTATACAAAACTCATAGCTCATTTTCAGTTGGGGCCATTGTGGAGAAAGATATTCCACCTCAATCATTTCGAGATTTGAGAGATTTTTGGTGTTTTCGGGTGTTGTGAGTGCAAATGAGCTTGGGTTTTACCCTCCTAGTGTTCTATAATGATCTATAGTAAGTTTCCAACACTCAAACCTTATTTTCATGGATTTTTAAGATTGTTAGGTTTTTCATGAATAGTAACCCGAAAATGTGATGATTTGTTTGGATTGTAATGGTTGTTTGATGTTGTTGTGTGTTGTAGAGTTGATCTCAACAACATTGTGAGCTATTCTCACTTATTGGAATCTACAAGTACTTAAGTTGGCGATTTGTGAATTTTCACAGTGGTAAGTCATGAGAATGGTCATTTAAAAGGATGTTTTTTAGCCAAATGCTTAGTGATTTATGTGTTGAATGATGTCTTAATCACAATTCCACATGTTTCTATAGGTTGCTTGTGTGTGGTTTATTATGGTTGAGTCTCTGGAAGCAGAACAAGACAACTGTCAGGAAGTCGACAACAAGTAAATTTATGGACCTTAAGGTTAATCCCTTTGTGTGTTTCACTATACCCCATTGAGGTAATAGTTGATTGATAGTGGTTCATCAGTGTCATGGCATGGTAAAGTGCATTTCAGGATGATTGATACTATGATGAATGATATGTACGACAACATGTATGATCAGTATTCATGAACAGTTATGATATATATGTATGTATGTATGCATCTATACATTTGCTTCTCATGAACGTAGCAAAAGTTCATGAGTGTGAAGCATAATAGACATACAAAAGTTTATGGTAAGCAATGCATTGTATGGACTTTCCTTAGACGTAGCAAAAGTCTTTGGGGTTTGAATCCTATGAAAATCAGCAAAAATTTCATGAAGGGACCATATCATATCATAAGACGCAGCATAAGTCTTATGAACAGTTATGAACAGAACAGTAGGAATTTCCCATGGACACAGCCTTCGGGACTTCCATGTGGTCAGATACCTAAGAAACGTAGCAAAAGTTTCTTGGAAATTCCAATAGCTATGATGTGATATGATGTATGTCTATTTATGCTCAGATATTATGCATTGTAAGTGAACTATAGTGTGGATTTATTCTCCAAGAACTCTTAGTTTATTGAGATTTATATCTCACCCCGCATTATGGGGAATACATTTTAGGTACCACCACTGATGGTGAGGATTTTGTTTACTTTTGATGTATAGCTTGCTTGTAAATAGTAGACAGATAGCATGATGCATAGATGACATGAGGATTTTGTTTACTTTTGATGTATAGCAACTCATATCATACTTGTGTATTTTGAGGCCTAGATAGAGGCAATATGTATTTTACATAATTCGATATTATATTTTGTTGAGAGGACAATGAACTATGATTATGTAATTTTCACATTGAGCATTTTATGTAAATTGTATAATTCATGGGATTGTACAAGTTCAAGGATGCATGTAATATGAAGTTTATGCTTTAATGCTCAAGGAAGTCTTAATGTATGAGTTTGATAGTTAAGCTAACGAGGCAAGATATATGATAGCCATGTATGGAAATGAATACTTATGTTACAAATCCTTGGAATAATGTATGCTGGATTGTAACTTATGATACAAGTAATAAGCTAATTGATGGCTTGGAGCCTAAGTTTATCATATGATATGTACTTTAAAAGAATATGTAAGTCCACCTATGTTTGTTGGGCGTGTGGTTGTCATTCTTGTCAATCAGATACAAAGAAGTAGGGTAAAATCCCCTAGAAAGTATGCAAGTCCAAAATGAACCATTTTAGTTCTAGAGGAGCCCGCTAAAGCGTGCTCTCACATCAGAAACAGAGGTTGAAGCAAACGTTAAAGCGCACAAGGAAAAAAATTGTGAGTTTTCCTTCGGTGGCTGAGCGCGCTAACACGTGCATAAATGCAGAAAAATACCTGATGGTAGCACTTAAGCGCACTACCACCCGCTAAAACGCACTAGAAAAGAATAGTGACCATTTATTTCGGTGGTGGAACGCTAAAGTGTGCTCTTTGAAGCAAAATAAAGTGTACTAGCACGCTAAAATGCATTGCAAGGCACTAAAGCCCGCTGCCCAACATTGAAAATAAGGAGTTTTACACCTTGTATGCTTATAGGGGATACTTGGTGGTTGTTATTGAGCAAGTCTAACAAGTTTCCATAATATATATGAGTTGCATTCAAGTTTTGAATTATATATGTACAGAACTAGAAAAGTAAAATAAAAAAATTTATTCGTAAATTCAATTCAACTGCTGTGATTGTAACTGTGTTTAATATCATTAACAATGATAATAAACTAGTTCTAGAACGGGGTGTTACATTTTATGATATTAGAGCAGTTTCTAAGGGAAACAAAATATGCATAACATGTTTAAGATGTTTTATAGTTGTTTTAGATATT